GTGAAAGTCCACATCAAAGCATGTGGTGAGTGAATGATGAAAGGTCAGATGTGGTTTGGGTACATGGAACAGGAGTGAGACAGGGCACCAAGATTGCTGCTGGGGATATACCTGAAAGCTCAGCAGGGACCAGCCAATGAAGAGCCTTGAAGGTCATTCTACATTTGAATTTTATCCAATAGATAAGGGAGGTGCTTCCAAATTTGGACCACAAGATTCATAAGGTTTTTCATATACCAACATTTTAGGATTCTATTATTCTTTCCCTTTAAAGTCCTGTTTCTCAAAGTGTAGCCAAGTTCCACCTGCATCAGAATCATCTGGGTCACTTCTCCAAATCTGCAGATTTCCAAGCCCCAGCCCAGACCCACTGAATCAGTACCCCGAGGAGGGCGGCTGGGAAGGGGGGATTCCCAAGACCCAGCATCTGAATTTCAACAAGCACGCTGGTCAACTTGATGCACACTGAACCCTGAGAACCCGCGAGGTACAGCAGTGGCTAATGAGGCCACTGGAGAATCAGGAAATCACTTTTCAGTGAAATAGAACAGAGTACAAACTCACAGAGTGTGTCTCTTGCTATAAGGATGAGTATTATTTCAATAAACCTTTGTTTGGGTGTTATAAAGTGTGTGTGTGTGTGTGTGTGTGTGTGCTGGGCCAAGCTGCAAAATTGTGGTTCATGGGCTGAGGCCAAACAAGTTAGAGAAGCATTGCCTTAGAGGATGCTCTTTATATTGTTTTCAATCAGACTTCACCTGTCATTCAAATATTGTGAGGAAAACAAATGAAGTGTAATTTCCCCCTGAGTACCCCTGCCCATAGCATGCTGGGACACATCAATCTTTGTACATAAATCAATTAATTTTGGTACTTCCTAACTCAACATGAAGTGATAAAAAAGCAGCTCTATGAACCTGGTATGGATGGAAACATGTTGTTAATTGTCACCTATTCAAGAACTGTGTTCTTATTTTCCTCAAGAGATTACAAAGCCTTTATTCTGGCTCTCATTACATCTCCGCAACCCCACACTTAAATCCTGGCACAACTAACTACAAAGTACCCAGTCGGTCCCTTGCTGTGCAGAATTTCGCTGTACTGAGTTTTGCCCTCACAAGTGATCACAGAGTGTAACCCGGAACACCTTGTGCTATTGGAATACTGTTTTCCTTGCACTTGTACTTGCTTTAATAGGGTGTATATCTGTGACCTATTCTCCAAAAAAACTGACAAGCAAGGACAAATACAAACCCATCCACTCAAGCATCAACACCACACACGTGTGCACACCCGCACATACACACGCGTAGACACAGTCATAAACGTATTTAACAAACTTCAGTCATTCACATAATGCCTTTATTATGTTTTCCATTTCCACATACCTCCAGTACTATCATTTACCTTTTTCTTTAAATCAAATCATATTTTATATTAAAAAAGTTTTCATAAAGAATACTTTCTATCCTTCGTATAAATGGAATGCTAGTGTCACTTGCCAAGAGACAGGATAACTGTAAAAATAAACGTGAGGGAAGGAGAACTGAGTCACCACGCTCAAGTTAGATCTGTTACTTGCCAAGGCTGTGAACTGAATGAAGCCTGTTCTCTGTTTAAAAAAGAGACTTGAATGTTTCTTGTTAAAGACCTACCAGGATGAAACTGAGTCTTTTTCCGCGATATCAAAAGCCATGAAAGACTGGAAAAAGGAAATAACTTTCTCAACAGTGATTCCATTTTGTTTTAAGGCTGAACAGCTCCCTCTTAGAAATATCTCCTGTTTCATTAATATCTCAAACTTGGGGAAGTGACAGTATAGATCTGTGGTTCTCAGACTGTAGCGTGCATCGGAAAGAGCTGGAAGTCCTCTCGGGCTGTGCCTCACCCCCGAAGTCTCTGATTCAGCGAGCGAGGCCCAAGAATGTGTCTCTCTGGAGAGTTTCCAGGTGGTGCTGACTTGATTGCGCAGCCGCCACTGGGAACCACGGCACGGATAAATCCGGCACGTCTTCCGCAACCTTGTTTAAGTGAGTCCCTCCTTCTCTGCCCTCCACAAAGCCTTCCTTGCCCTCTCTGTCCACATTAAACTTCTGCAAAACCAGTCACTTCTTGTCCAGCTCACTGATTCCCAGTCTTTTCACCCAAATCAAACATGTTCTTATTCTCCCTTCACAAATCCCATGCTTTGAAATACTCTTTGTCTATCAAACAAAATAGATGTATCAAATAATAATTCATTTCCCCATGTTTTATTAATCAAAGATGAGGGTAACTGCCAATCAGAGCTTCCAGTCAGCATGGGGTAACTGGTGTTCCTACACTGAGTTGATATAATCCTAGCCCAGAGCAAAGAAGCCTGATGTTTTAGTTTAATTAGCCTGTGCATCTCATCTCTGGTAAATGCGAGCTCTTCTGGTTAGTCTTTTTGAAGTACTGAAAATAGCTCACAGGCACCCCCTCCACCCCCCATTACTGCTATCTGAGACCCTCGCGGGCCTGGGAAGCTCAGGTTGAGACCACCTGGTATCTATCACTCATTTGGTAATTAATCACTGATGTCTCCTGTCATTTCTTCTTTTTTTTTTTCCTTTTCTTTCTCCCGGAAGCCCCCCAGTACATAGTTGTATATTCTAGTTGTAGGTCCTTCTGGTTGTGCTATGTGGGACGCCACCTCAGCATGGCTCAATGAGCGGTGCCATGTCCGTGCACAGGATCTGGGCCCGTGAAACCCTGGGCCGCAGATTAACCACTGAGCCCCGGGGCCAGTCCCTGTCGTTTCTTCTGTTGTTGTCCATTAGAGCACAAAGGGGCTGCATCCGACCCTTCCTTGTAAACTGTAAGTACCCGGCTCAGGGCTTTAGAATTCGCAGCTGCCCAAAAAAACAAAAACAGAAACACTATTTGTTTCATTTACATTTGACATACCACAATTGCATCCAGGGGAGAGCAACACAATGAAAGCATATTTGCAGTAAAATAGACCAGTATTGTAAACAGGAGAGTTAAACTCAAAAGTTACCCTTTGGAGGAAAATGAGTCAACCAAACAATTGATTTCCAGGGTGGATATAGAGACTTGAGAATAACTACTTGCCCGAGTAAGTTCACCAGGATGTGTTTCCACTGGATTGCTCTGCCTGGTGCCTCCTGGAAGGCTGGGGAGCGGGGAACATTTGTAAGGAGTCTAATTAAATCACAAGCACACAAACTGAGGACTTGGAGTGATGGTGAGATCGTAATGAATCAGAAATACTCCTGCCTTCCTCAAGAGTATGTGACTCTTCCTTTTTCTGAAACTCTGCTTAAAACTCTTGTCCTCGGGGAGGCCATCCCTGGTGGTGATTACCACTAGCCCCCACCCCCTGCCCGCCTCGCCTGATCCTGATCACATTTTATTCTGAATTCCTTTAGCAATATGAACTCACTGCATGTTGCATTGATATTGCTATCTAAGCTTTTTCAAGTAAGTGTGTATATGTGTGTGTGTCTTTGAGAAGGCTCTCTTCTTGCCTTCAAGAAATAGCTCCCCACCCACCTGTGACAAAGACCTACAACTCAACTATTACAGAGTAATTTCCTTATTTGATAACCTTGCTACTCCAGGCATCTACGTTCAAAATGCCGATGACAGTAAGCTCTTATCCACCATTTCCACTGTTGGTGCCCCTTCCTGCCCTTTGCTGATGAACGGGATGCTCAAGTATTACTGCTAGCATTGCTTTGGATAGTCCTACCAAGGAAATTCCAAAGGAATCTTTTGACTACCGATGACTCCGGAAAAGATGCAAAAAGCGAGGTTTTAGATTGTTGATTTTAGGTTGTTGATTGTTCCAAAGACTTATTAGATTTAGCTAATTATACAGCTTATCAAAGTAAAAGATCTTCTGGGTGCCATGTGACACTCTACTCCATCATTCATGCCTGATTGAATAACATGGTTAAAAGCTGAGGAGCTCCTCCTTTAACGAAGTTCCTGCTCTGGTCTGTTGCTACGGCAACTTAGGGCTATAGTCCAAGATGACAGCAAATGTATTAAATATTGCAGCAAATCCATTTTCTCCCTGCCTTAGTGACCTCAGAGCCGAAACTGTATTTGATAGCATACAAGTTTAGAAGGAGCATTTGCCTGTTGTTTTTTTCTTTTCCGACATGGAAACCAATCATATTTATATTTTCTAGCACAGTGTCATCCATGGAGGAGGAATTGAAAAAATACTTGAGAGGAATTAATTATACATGGTGGACTGACCACACACATTTATTGCCTCTTTTTCCTGAGACCCCACTAAAATGGCAGTAAAAGAATTAAAAGGGAATATGTTCACATAGACAAAGAAAACAGGAGATGATACCACAATAGGCAAGTGATTTATATTCGTTTTTAGTTCTTTTTTTATTGAGGTAAAATACACATAACATAAAATTTACCATTTTAACCATTTTTGAGTGTACAGTTCAGTGGCATCAAGTACATTCACACTGTTGTGCAACCATCGTCACTATCCGTCTCCAGAACTTTTTCATCTTCCCAAACTGAAACTCTGTCCCCATTAAATAATAACTCCTTGTTCTCCCCGCCCCTCAGCCCGTGGTAACCACTATTCTGTTTTCTGCCTCTACGCATTTGACTGTTCTAGGGACCTCATATAAGTGGAATCATACAATATTTGTCCTGTTGTGTCTGGCTTATTTCACGTAACATAATATCTTTAAGGTTCATCCATGTTGTAGCACGTCAGAGTTTCATTCCTCTTTTTTCCCTTACTAAAGCAGATTGTATTTTATTTCCATCTCTATTGAGGTATAATTGACAGAATTTCATTCCTTTTTGAGGCTGAATAATATTCTGTTGTATGGAGATTCCACACTTGGTTTATTCATTCATCCATCAATGGACATTTTTGGTCATTTCCGCCTTTTGGCTATTGTGAATAATGCTGCCATGAACACTGATGTGCAAGTACTTATTCAAGTCCCTGCTTTCAAAACTTTTGTGAATATATCCAGAAGTGGAATTGCTGGGTCAAATGGTAATTCTATGTTTAACTTTTCGAGGAACCATTGGACTGTTTTCCATAGCATTTTACATTCGCATCAACAAATGTGCAAAGGTTCTAATTTTTCCACATCCACCTCAACACTTGTTGTTGGGTTTTTTTTTCTTTTTGATAATAGCCTTCCTAATAGGGGTGAGTTAATAACTCGTTGTGACTTTGATTTGCATTTCCCTAATGATTAGTGATATGAAACAGCTTTTTATGTGCTTATTGACATTTATTCCATTCATTTTTAAAAGATGGAAAGTCCATGGAGGAATGGAAGTCATCATAGCAGAACAAGGGCGGAGGTGGGGGACGGGGGCGGGGAATGAGAAGCAAACTGATTTGTCCCACCAAAGCTCTGAAAGATTCAGGCCCTGATGAGGGGATGGACCAGGGTGAGAATCAAGGCTGAAAACATCCCCTGCCCCACACCCAAGCAGTTACTCCTCACCCAGGAAGGAAAATGGAGTCTTAATCCCTGGGGAATCTGAACTGGCGAGGCCCTAGGTTCCAGTATAACTGGCACAGTAGCCAGCAGAAGTGAGGTAAAGTCTGGAGATGAGGAGACTCCACAAGTGTGTGTCCTGAGCAGTAGGAACTCCAGTCCTCTTCCTCAACTCTGCTCCCAAAATGCAGGCAATTTGTATTGCTCCTGGATAGAAGATAAGAAGATTCTTCTCATAAGAAACTGAACTGCCCCAGGGGAAGAAAACAATAGATAGTGGCATTTGGCTTTCCCCTAAGAAAACAACAAGATCCCCACTAAAAACTCAAGAGTGAAGCCCTCCCCTTGACAAACGCTGCCTGTGCACACAGGGTTTCCAATCAGCTTTTGTGCCGTACTCTAAAATACGAAGTGATGACTCGGGATCACCAGACAGTTGAGGAAAGCCTCCATCACGAAAGGCAAACCAAGACAAAACCAAGGGAAAAAAAAAACTGAACTAGGAAGAAATAGATAATGCCAGGAACGGACGAAAGCTTCAAATAAAAACTGCAATTTTATTCCCAGAGAGTTGAGAGAGAGTTAAGAGAAGATATTCCATCCATCAGTTACAAAACAAAGCAAAACAAAACAAAACAGGAGACTATGAAAAATAAAAAAAGCCCTTGAAAATTTAAAATGATAGTCAACACAAAAAGTTAATAGGTTGGAAGTAATACAAAGGCAAGATGATGGAAACTAATAGGGATAATATAAAGATAAAAGACTTAGGAAATCAATTGAATTAAATGTCCAAATAAGAAAACAGAAGATAAGATTGTCCAAGAAATAACTTAAGAAAAATTTCCTGGACCTGAAGGACATGAGTCATCATTCATGAGGACATGAATGAAGAAAGATCAATGACAAGTTTCAGCATACCGGGGACACAGAGACAGACTAGAAGTGTCCAGACAGATAAGTCATATACAAAGGAATAGGATTTAAAACGGTATTGGGTTTCTGAAAAATGACCCTGGGAGCTAAGAGGACAATGAAACAATGCCTTCAAGGGAAAATAATTTGCAACCTGAATTCTATATAGCCAAACTGCAAATCCAGACTAAGGGTAGAAAAAAAGACATTTTCAGATAAGAAAGAACTCAGAAAATGTATCTCCCATGTACTCTTTCTTAGAAAGCAACAGAAGGAAACATGTCACCAGAACGAGAAAGTAAAACAGGACACTGAACCCAGGAAACATAGGCTCCAACCTAAAAGAGAAGCAAAGAGAACTCCCAGAATAACTAAAGGCTACAGAAAAACCTGTGTATACTGGAGCAGGAGGGCTTCAAGGAGGAGAGCTCCAGAGGGAGCAGTGTATTCATTTGAGTGGGTATGAAAAACCGCTGATTGGCCATGAAAGTTCTAATAGGAAAGAAAAGGACAGGTACATAGAAAATAATGCAAGTAAAACAAATGAAAAAATATTATCAACTCCAGGAAAAACAAAAAGTTATACAAGGAAGGAAATATAATCACAGTATGCTTTTTGGCTTTGTAATGGATAATAATTATATAAACATAATGATTAATAAATATTGATCTAAAAAATTATTCTTTGATTATAGGAGTTTGCAGGAAATGGTAGAGGGCAAGTAACAGACAGGCAATTTTATCTCAGATAACAGCAAATCAATAGGCAATTTCTAAAATTGATAAATCAAGAAATAGTAGTATCAGTATTTTCTTCTGATATATATCAATAAATATCTTGATGGTTGCAACTGAAAACTTTTGGGAAAATGATGGCCTTATGAGTCTTCTCTAACTTGGATTCTGTTTCTGGAAATGGTATAAATTCGTTCTTCACCGGGTTCCCAGAGGCAGTGTGGAAGCATAATAGTTAAGAGTACGGGTTCTGATCCAGACTTCCTGAGTGCTCAGCTTGACTCTGCCGCTTCTTGATGGCAAGGTGAATTTGGGCAGGTTAACTCACCACTCACCTCAGTTTCCCCGTATGTAGAAGAGGAAACATATAGTATCTACCTCACAGGATTATTGTGAGAATTAAACAATGCGTATAAAGCACTTAGCATTCTGCATGGCGAAGCACACACATTCATACAGTATTGTGATCATTATTATCATTCCTGTTTATGGGTCTATCCAGATACGCTACCCCTGCCACCTTTCAATGTCCTTCCAGAAACATCACTATGATGGAGTTATAGGTGAAAGATGCAGAACAAGTAACTGGAGTTCAATTCCTGCTCCTCAAGCGATAGATAGCCAGATCCGAAATGCAAAGCTATGCAGCCTTAGTTTCTTCCTCCACCTTACGATTTTCCTCCTCAAGGTAAGAACTAAAGACAATTGTGGGTAATAGTATAAGGAATAGGTATAGCAGGAGTCTGAAGTCAGACTCAGGTCGAGTTCTGGCTTCCCACCTGTTAACTATACGGGTACATGCTAATTACTTGATTCTATGGGTTGAACCGTGTCCCCTCAAAACTTGTATGTCGCAATCCTAACCCCAGTACCTCAGAATGTGACTGTATTTGGAAACAGGGTCTTTAAAGACGTGATTAAGGTAAAAAGTGAGGTCATCTGGGTAGGCCCTAGTCTAATAGGATTAGTGTCTATACAAGGAGAGGAGATTCAGACACAGACACACACAGAGGAAAGACCACGTGAGGACACAGGGAGAAGACAGGCATCTGCAAGCCAAGGGGAGAGGCTTCAGAAGAAACCAACTCAGCTGACACCTTATCTCGGACTCCCAGCCTCCAGAACTGTGAGGAATAAATTTCTGTTGTTCAAGCCGCCCCGTCAGCGGCACTTTGTTACGGTGCCTCCAGGAAACTAATACACTTGATCTCAGTTTTCTGAGATCACTGTGAAGATTAAATTGTGTAGAAAGTACTTATCGCAATGCTTGGCACATAACACGTGCTCAATAAATGTAGGCTGGTATGATTATTGTGTTATTATTATTATTAAAACACAATTACTCTGGTCTTTCCACAGTAACAAAAGAGAGAAACTGAGTGACCAACTCAACCAAAATTATCGAAGCTGTTATGACTTCATAATTCATCTTCAAGTCTTCAGTCTTGCCTCTTCAATCCACCTCCACAATGCTGCCAGAACATTCTGGAATAAAAATCCGACTGTGATATCTAGTATACAAAGACGGCCTCAAACAATTCCACCCCTCCCCATATGCACATGACTCTCCTCCCATGAGAGATGGACCTCATGTCGCCTCCCTGTGAATCTGGGCTGTGCCTGTGACCACTTTGACCAGTACAATACAGAGGAAATGACATCCTGAGACTTCCGAGTCCGGGTATTAAGGAGGTCTGGCAGCTTCTGAGCCACCAAGAACAGGCTACTCTGCTGGAGAGAGCAGTCCTGGGGAAAGGTCCAGAACGACAGAGAGAGAGAAGCCACATGGAGGAACAGGCAGGTGCCAGACATCCAGCCCCAAGCTGTAGCCCCAGCCACCATCTCACTGCTACTGCATGAGAGACGCTGAACCAGAGCCGCAGAGGAACCACCTGGCCGAGCCCCAGCCAACCCACAGAGTCGTAACCAAATTTCCATACCTTCACGAACTGTGTGACTTGGCAAGTTACCCAACCTCTCTGTGCATCATTTTTCCCATCTGTAAAGTAAAGATATAACAGTATCTTCCTCAAAGGACTGTTGTGAAGATTAAGAAACAATATGCGTAGGACACTTGGACAGTGTCTGGCATAGAGTAAGTGCTCAAGATGTTGCCTACCGTCACCATCACCATCATCATCGTCATCATCATCTTATCCTGCCTTCTCCAGCCTCCCCCCTTAACCACTGCCCATGTGCACTCTGGGGAACAGTCATACTAAAATATTTTGTTCTCAACACATCACACTTCACAACTCTTTACCTTTGTACATTCCATTCCTTCTGCCTGGAATGTCCTTCGCCGGCTTTGTGTGCCTGGAAAACTGCCACGTCCTCTGCGAAGCCTTCTCAGATCTTCCCCGTTGGTGCGGTGTCTGCCCCTGTGCTCCTCAGAGCACCCAGCTCTTGTCTCTGTGGAGGGGCTTCCCAGACTTTGCCAGCTTTGTGGCCCTGTCTGTCTCCCCAGCTAGACCCTGAGTCTTTTAAGGACAGATCCCATACCCGATTCATGTGCCAGCAGAGCGTGGCTCATAAAAAGGTCGTAATACATTGAGGCCGGCCCAGTGGCGTAGTGGTTAAGTTCATGCACTCTGCTTCGGCAGCCTGGGGTTCGCTGGTTCGGATCCCAGGAGTGGACCTATGCACCGCTTATCAGGCCATGCTGTAGCAGGCGTCCCACCTATAAAGTGGAGGAAAATGGGCACAGGTGTTAGCTTAGGGCTCATCTTCCTAAAAAACAAATAATAAAGCTCTTAATACATGTTTCTGGAAGAGAAGGAGACTGCTTTTAGAGTACTGGTTCTCAACAAGAGTAGGGAGCAGGGAGGGGAGCAACTTTGTCCCCCAGGGGACATTTGGCAATGCCTGAAGACGTTTTTGGGTGGCACACAACTGGGAGTATGCTACTGGCATCTAGGGGGTAGAGGCCAAAGACACTGCTAAACATTGGACAATGCACAGGACAGCCCCCCCAACAAGGAGTCGTCCGGCCCCAGTAGTACTGAGGCTGAGAAATGGTTTTAGAGGATCACCACGTATGGTCTCAAGAGACAGCCAACTGACTGAATGTGCGTATGCTCAGTGGCCTGGACGCATCTCCCACCCTCGTTCCAGCTCAGCCCTCTTCTCAGCACTTCTGGATGCTGAGGCTCCTGGAAAGGGTACTAAGGACAAGCAAGGGCTTAAATCTGGTCACCTTCCTTCCTGCTCAATGTGATCTTGATCAAGACCCTCCCCGCATCAGGGTCCTGTTTTCCACATCCTGTGGTCCCGTCCAGCCCTCACTGACATGCTTTGATTTTGCAGTTGTAGGTTGGTGCCTGCTGTTTCTTTCTTGGCTAGAAGATGTCAATGCTGCACAGACTCTCTCACGTGCCAAGAGAGGAAAAATCCCTGATAGGCTGGCCTGAGTCACTGAGAGCTTGTGTTACATCCTGGACCGCCCGGAACTGAACTCACGTGCCTGAGGCACAGGCTCCCCACCAGCCCAGGTAGGAGGCCCGCAGGCTGCAGGAGAAGTAGGGTGGGAGAAGGTGGCCCTCAAAGGCCGCGTGCCTAATACACCTCCAGTCTGAGGGACCTCTTTGTCGGTCAAAGCACGTTGTGTCTTTGCTGGAAAGCAGGGAGACGTCTATGAAATCTGCTCCTCCCCCCAGGATGAGAGTGGTAAGAAACCTCACCCCACGGAAGGACGGCTTCTGTCAGAGATAGGTCCTGCAGAGGTGCATGAGCAGAGCCAATGGCCGGGGCTCCTCTGGGGGCTTTTTGTTGTTGTTCCTAACTGACTTCAAGAGGAGATAGAACAGTGCAGTGGTAAAAAGCCCCAGCTTTGCATCAGACAGGCCTGAGCGCGAGTCCCAGTTCCGTCACTGACTGCGTGATCCTGGGTAAACGACTTAGTCTTGTCTACATCTCAACCCCGAGATGGGAACAACAATAGTGTCCACATCATAGGGTTGTTCTGTGTTCATTGAGATGAAATCACAGGCTTAGCATTCTGCTTCGCATAACTGCAAGTAGATGGCAGTTATTATCATGAAAGGATGTTATACGATGAGCAAATAGGTGGGGAGTATGATGAATCATATTGAAATTCTCGCATAAACTCCTATATCCAGGCAGGATGCTGGTGAGTTATAACCCTGAGAGCTGACACTTTTATAGCTCTTACCACATGCTTACAGCTGTTCTAAGTGCTCGACACATGCTAACTCTATCCGCACGAAGACCCCTGGGATAGGTGCTTTATTATTCCCATTTTATAGATGGGAAAATGAGACACAGAAATTCTCCAGTTGCCCAAGGCACACTGCTGGTTAGGGGAAGATGAGGGTTGGGACAAAGGCGGTTTGGCTCCGAGGTCGCTGCCCTTAGCAGAACACACACTGCCCCTGAGTGACTCTAGAAAAGGGTTAGAAGTGGGAGGAGTGGGGGCCTCCCCCAGCGTGTCTCAAACCCCTCCCCTGTTCCCAGATACCTCCTCCAGGCCCAGATAGCACAGCCTTGCAACTTCCCAACAGGGAGGCACCTAGCTTTGCAAGGGCGCGTCCAGAAGTGGCTGTGGGGACACGGGAATGGGATGCCCCATGGAGGTAGGAAGCAAATGAGATTTGGAATTGGGCAAACTGGGACTCTGCCCCAACACCACCTGGTGACCATGGGTGACTCCGGGCCCAGAGGCATACTTTCTCAGAGCTTTATTCCTCTCCGTCTAAACCGAGGGCTTAGACACGCTCAGAGGACCTGTTAACTCTAGCATGCTAGGTTTTCCGAGCGAGAAAAGGCTGGTCTGGGGCTGGGGCCTTGGTCAGATCTTATCCCAGGGGAAGAGCGCCACCTAGTGAGCCATCTCAAGAATGTCCCAGAGCGTTGGGCGGGGACTCAGGAGATCGGGTGCCTGGGGGCTGCTCTGCCCACATTCAGCTGTGCGGTCTCTGGCAAGGTGCTTCAACTCTCTGAATCCCAGGATGCTGATTGGTAAGATGACAGCCCAAAACTAGCCAACGATGATAATATTTATAATGGCCAACATTTCTTTCCCTTCACATTTTCTCACCACTTTATTTTGAAACAGTAATGGGTTATAAACCAACAGGAATGGTAAATTTTAGAAGTGGTATAATATTTGTTCTGGGCACTCTGATAAGTTGTAACATCGCCTCTATTTTTTCCTATTTTTTTCTTCACATTTTTTTTTGTTTTGCTTTTTTTTTTTTTTTTTTTTAATTGTGGTAAGAACACGTAACATGAGGTCTACTCTTTTAACAGATTCTAAGTGTACAGTATAGTCTTGTTAGCTATAGGCACTGTTTTGTGCAGCAGATCTTGAGAACTTGCTCATCTTGCATAACTTTCTACCCGTCGATTTAGCTAACGCCTTTTGAGTATTTATTACATGATAGGCCCTGTTTTAATATTACGTATATTAGCTCATTTAATCCTCCAAATAATCATGTGAGGAAGGCACAGAGGGACTGCACAGCTCACTACGTTAGTCCATAACTGATGCACCAGTAAGAAAAGTCTACAATGTCCTTTGTGAGGTGATTTACATTTGATCAACATGACTTCATTGAATCCGCTCAACCACCCGTGAGATGGATGTTATCTTTGCTTTAGAGTAGAGAGACAGAAGCCCACCCAGTCAGCACATACCTGCCTGCTGTGTGCCAAGCCCTGCGGTAGGCCCTGGGGGTGTGCAGGAGCGGGGTGCATGGCGTCGCATCCTTGCAGAGTTCTCGGTCTGCCAGGAAAGGGAGACCCCAGTAAGTACCCACAGGATGCATGTACGCTATGCAAAAATCTAGGAGCCGTAGCAGCATCACTTGGTCTGGGAGAGAGAAATGTCACAAGTGGTTGTGCCCAGGGTCACATGCTCCTTGTCATGGGACCCAGCGCACTGTTTCCAGACCTGTTTGTCCACCCCAGCTTCCACCTTAGCATCTGAGCTCCTGTGTCCTAATCACCTTGGTAAACCCAGCAGCCCACAGAGGGGCTGGCACATGGTGGCTGCTCGACAAATGTTCGTCCAGTGAAAGCCCCTCGTCCTCCTCCACGCCCAGATGCCCTCCCTCCTCTCTTTCCTCAGACCTTCTTTTCCTTTCCAGTAATCCACAGAGATCAGGACAGTGGCTCCCTAGCCCAGACTCCTGCCATAATTCTCCAACTCAGAGAAGTTCAACAATGTTAACTATCCCCAGTACAACCGAATGAATGTGTTGTGGGGGAGACCGGGGGGCTAACAGTGTCAGACACGGACTTTGTGCTGAGCATTCTGTCTGTATCACCTTAAATCTCCCAGCCCTGGGAGGCAGGTAGTAAGCAGCAGGGCTGGCATTTGAACCCGGCAGCCTGGTTCCACACCTTTGTAACCACGTTCGCCACGTTCTACTGCCCTTTGGCATTTTCCTCCGAGTTTCAGTGAGTGGCCAGTGCTATGTTAGCGAGGGACAGAGCTCAAAGCCTGCCATTCAGGCTTCTCCCCCACCACACTTGGACCTTTCTAGAATCAGAAGATTCTTCTGGAAGCTCCATGTCACTCCCTGAAGGCCACAAAGCATCTTCCCAGGGTTTCCCATTTCCAGTTTCTAGCCCCTTGTTCCTGAAGAAACGCCTAAGGATGCAGAGGTTCAGGTGCAGGCCACTGGGTTGAACCAACTAATGACACTGACCCCTGAAAGATGTACTATTCTCTACCTGCTTGCCTGGGGAATAAAGCCAGTGAGGATAATAATAATAATAGCAACAACACTGCATGTCCTCCTCGGTGCTGGCCTTCCACTAAGGCCTTCTCAAACTTTCGCTCGTTCAGTCCTTACAACAGCCTTCAGAGGTACGTACTATTTCATCCCCATTAAGTAAGGGTCTTGAGAACAGAGCTCTATCAGTTTAGGCCTGCCAGGAAGCTGACACTAAGACAGAATAGACATGTGAGAGACTTATGGGGAGAAACACCTAAGAAGGTTTAAGGGGGCAGGAGGAGGAGTGGGCAAGAAAGCCTCTGACCCTGATGCAGGTCTGCCACTTATGGAGAGAGTGAGGCAGGGAAGGACTGAGGGAGGAGCCCAGGCTGCAGCATGCTAGTCCCCTCACCAAGGCCTCAGCATGAGCCAAACCCCTCCCACGAGGTTCTCTCTCAAAGCTGCTCAAGACAGTGTGACCCCATGGCTGCCACAGAAGACTCTGTGTTCCCTGCTGATCCCCAGCATCTAGAAGAGTGCCTAGCACACTGCACTCAATAAATACTTATTGAATCAATCTGTTACCTGAATTAACCCCCTTTTATGGGTAAGGAGACTAGAGTGCAGAAAAATTGAGTGACTTGCCCAAGGTCACACAACTGGTAGGTAGCCCAGCCCAGATTTGAGGCCCGGTTTTCTCACTCCAAAGCCCACACACTGAAGGCCATGTTCCTCCATGCCTTGGTCTTGCCCCCCTCCCTCCTCTTTCCTTGCACTGAGCACTCAAACATTGCCTGGCTGTAATATCAGGACTTTTTCTGGCATTTTTTTCACTCACTCAACCCCCCACTAATTTATTCATTCGTTCAGCAAATATTTCGCAGGTACTACACAGGATACGTGGGTGACACAGACCAATAAGAAAGGTCCCTCCATTTGAGAAACTCAAAGTCCAGGGCAGGAGGCAGTCACATCACAAGGGATTAGTGCACAATGTGACAAGTGTTACAATGGCAGTGCACTGCCAGAATTAAGTCTCAGGGCCGAGAAGGGCCAAGAAGTGGGGCAGAAGCCCACATAGTCCCAGCTAGCTTCTGTCACTGCCCACCTCGCCCCACTTCCCCCAGCCAGGGCACCAAAGTTCTGCAGGGGGTTTAACCTCTGAACACACAGGCCAGCCAGGGGTCATGGGGGCTGGAAATGCTGCTAGTATGAAATCACTTTAAGGAGGTAATGTACCAGGTACTTTAAGCCTGGTAACCATGGTTACTCACAATTCAACTCAACAATGCGGAGGGAGATGGGCAGCCCAGGAACCCACCACAAAGCTATTCAGGTGGTGTTTTAGCCAACCAAATGTAGGCTACACTTAAGGAAAAGATTGAAAGAGGCCTTTAAACGTCTATCATACATTACTTCAATACCATTTAGAATCTCCTCCTAAAGGTCCTGAACAAAATGGATGTCAATGATCAAAACTGCCAAGACAGGAAAAAAAAAAAAAAAAATAAGCCTACACAGATGGTATCTTCAGCAAAGTGGAAACACGTCCACAGCAGAGAACAGGAAAACCTCAAGGGTAGATTTGAAATCAGAGAATCAAAAAATTACTTCATCCTACTTGCAAACATTGGAAACAACCTAAATATCCATCAAAGTAGGATTGAACAAATTTGCATGTTCACAAAATGGGATTTTAAAAAGTCAGGTTACAGCACAGTCTTGTTTTGCATCATGCATGTGTGTGCACTGAGGGACATCCGAAGGCCGTTCACTAAAATGTTAACAGGGGTGCCCTCTGGATGGTGGAATTTCAAGAGAGTTTGCACTCTTCTTTCCACTTGTCTGTGTGTTTGGATATATATTTTTTTAATTTTTATTGAGTTTATGATAGTTTACATCCTTGTGAAATTTCAGTTGTACATTGTTTTTTGTCAGTCATGTTGTAGGTGCACCACTTCACCCTTTGTGCCCACCCCCCCTTTCCCCGGTAGCCACTAATCTGTTCTCTTTGTCCACAGGTTTAACTTCCACATGTGAGTGGAGTCATACAGAGATTGTCTTTCTCTATCTGGCTTATTTCACTTAACATAATTCCCTCAAGGTCCATCCATGTTGTTGTGAATGGGACGATTTTATCCTTTTCATGGCTGAGTAGTATTCCATTGTGTGTGTATATATATATATATATATCTATATCTATATATATATATATACACCATATCTTCTTTATCCAATCATCAGTTGATGGGCACTTAGGTTGCTTCCACGTCTAGGCTATTGTAAATAATGCTGCAATGAACATAGGGGTGCATGAGACTTTTGGAATTGCTGACTTCAAATTCTTTGGATAGATACCCAGTAGTGGGATGGCTGGGTCATACGGTAGTTCTATTTTTAATTTTTTGAGAAATCCCCATACTGTTTTCCATAGTGGCTGCACACCAGTTTGCATTCCCACCAGCAGTGTATGAGGGATCCTTTTTCTCCACATCCTCTCCAACATTTGTTACTTTTTGTTTTGGTTATTTTTGCCATTCTAATGGGTGTAAGGTGATATCTTAGTGTAGTTTTGATTTACATTTCCCTGATGATCGGTGATGATGAACATCCTTTCATGTGTTTATTGATCATCCGTATGTCTTCTTTGGAGAAATGTCTGTTTGTGTCTCCTGCCCATTTTTTGATCATGTTGTTTGATTTTTTGTTGTTGAGTTGTGTGAGTTCTTTATATATTATGGAGATTAACCCTTTGTTGGATATATAACTTGTAAATATTTTTTCCCAATTAGTGGATTGTTTTCTTGTTTCACTCCTGTTTTCCGTTGCCTTGAAGAAGCTCTTTAGTCTGATGAAGTCCCATTTGTTTATTCTTTCTATTGATTCCCTTGTCTGAGAAGACATGGTGTCCAAAAAGATCCTTTAAATACTGATGTCAAAGAGTGTGCTGCCTATATTTTCTTCTAGAAGTCTTATGGTTTCTTTAGGTTTCTAGAAGCCTTTAGGTCTTTGATCCATTTTGAGTTTATTTTGGTGAATGGTGAGAAAGAATGGTCAATTTTCATTCTTTTACATCTGGCTGTCCAGTTTTCCCAGCACCATTTGTTGAAAAGACTTTTTCTTTTCTTCATTGTATGCCCTCAGCTCCTTGTTTGGATAGTTTTAAACAAGCATCAATCATTTATAAAATCAAGAAAAAAGTATATGAAGTTATTTTTACTTTGAAAAACAAAATAATCAGAAAAGCTCTGAAATGATCCAAAGGCCATGGACAACAAGGAGATAAAATGAAGACCATGGTCCAGGGAAGTCTGTCTAAAATGTTTTTTTATGAACATTTAACAAAGGAAGCAATTATGACGGAGAGCCAATTGTTAAATGAGTCCCAATGAGTAGATTTCAGGGTCGTCTCTAGAATGTTTGTAGTGACTGCAATACCATGTGCCTAGCACAGAGTAGGTGCCCAGCAAACATCTGTTGTCTGAACCAATGAACCATCACGTTGGGAGATTACCAGTTCCTCGTAGTTATGTCTCAGTTCCTTTCAAATTCAGGTGAATGGCATTGGTTGACTTGATGGATTCACTAGACCTCATTTCCTTCGATTTGCAGGGTCAGTGGTAACTCCAAAATTGACACCTGGGGGCAGCTTAAAGGCAGCAGTGTAGTTGGAGATTCAGCCTGGAGGCTTGTCTTGAAACTGTGTTTGCACAGTACCTTAAATTAGACTGAGATGATGCCAGTTGTTCGTATCAACGGAAGTGGAGGCTGGTGGAAATGATGGAGAACCACAGTCTGCCCACGTGACCCCTTGGCTCTACCAAAGCACAAAGCTAGTCAACCAGATCACAGGCATGTGGCCAGCATTCGTGGTCTGGCCTCTCTCCACCACTCCAGACCAACCCCACAGCCCAACAGTCATGTACACCCTTGCCCCATTCTTTCAATGGGTTTAGAAACCAGGGCCCCTGAGCCTCTAGGAATCTCACATCCTGGAATTCACCTCCTTGTATGTGGTTCCCTCCCATACCGACTCTCGGCTCGGCCATGTGGCTTGCTTTGG